AAAGAGAGAAAAGAAAGAGAGGAAGAAGCTGTTTCTTCTCGCGCATTGAATCGCTTTAACCGAGTGCCTCATCAAACGGATTTAAAAGTCAGCATTACGAGCAGGAAAATTTAGGAGCGACCGTTATAGGCGGACGGATTTCACTTTCGGGCGTGTAAATATTTTGTGACATCACAAATAAACGAGACGGGGAATTTCTCTTTTAGAGGAGGAAGGGCTTTACCTAACTTGTAGCTGGGGATTTCGGGGAAACAATGAACTATATCTCTGAATGTTGTTGGCGGATTCTTCAAAGAAAATTGCTCCATTATTATTATTATTATTATTAAATAAATGAGAATATACCGCGGAAAGAAGATAAATACAGAGAAAAAAAAACCAATATTGACATAAACGGAAATAAACTTTTTAATCGGTGCCCCTTCTATTCGATACTAAAAATATAAAAATATAAAAATAATAATTCCGACAATTTTGATTTTATTTATAAAAAAATTATTTACAATAATTTCAAAATGCAGACATAATAATTTCCAAACAAATGTTATTGACGTTCCTGGAAAATTGCGCTTTCATTTAGTCATTCGCGAGTGCTACTACGAATTAACATTGATACTCGAGAATATTGATCACGAGGTTCGTTTTATCACAATCCACCACGCGCTTGTGCCTACATTAAAGCACTTCCGCCACGCGCTCGCCTCGTGTAGGATTAAAAATATCTCTTCCTTCTTCCGCGAAATTTTATGCGACAAACAAATGCAAAGTAGATCGATATTTCTCAGAAAAGTGATGTTTTTCCGACCTTTTCCGTCTCGCGCGAGTCTCCTCGTGGACGGTAAACAAGTTTGAAAATCGTGTCGCGGTATCCTAACCTCGTTAGCGGAACGTCGCGTCGGAATTTGAGCGAAATGCCGTACTCACCTGCATACTGTCGGCCGAGATGATCTCCCCGGAAAAACGGCGCGCCAGCTCGATGCCCAGCCGCGATTTTCCACATCCGGTGGCGCCAAGAATCACCAAAATTGGCACACGCGACATCGCCACCTCGCCGCGATCGACCATCGTAAGCGCGGTACTGGACGCATGCGCCGTGCTCCGCTGACGAGTGTCCGCACGGCCCGGCGTTTCGCTGCGACGGAACGATGAAACGCGAACCGCGCGCAAGATTTTAAAATAATGAGAGACGAATGGCGAAGACGACGAGAAGGATGATTCTTTCGAATCTCTTGTTTTATACCGCGTACATAAGTCTGTCTTATTGTTGGGCAGTGAGATTTTTACTCATGATTTCATTTATATATTTGTAATTTATATATATTATCTGTAATTTTATATATTAAATTAATTTGAAGATTGGAAATAACCAAGATCTACCAGATAACATCACCTTGAGATGTTTTACTTCTCAAACTTTTAGATTATAATTTTAGTGAATTTATATGATTATAATTTTAATAAGTTTATAATTTTAATGAATAATAATATACTGAATAGTAATGTAATATGAATAGTAATATAATTAAATAGTATGTATACGTTAATGTATACGTTAATGTATTTAAATAGTAAAAGAAGCTAAGAATTTGCTTAATAAATTGATAAATCAGTAACTGAATATGTGCATAATTTTGATAATTCATATTTATTGCAGTTTTTGAGACGCGAGTTTTTAAATATATAGATCCGTATATAACTTTTCGTGACAGACACGTTGTGACGATGACGTAACTATCTCTACAAATAGCACGAATCCATGACGTAACGAACTGTTAAATTTTGAGAGGCGTTTTGCGATATGCATTGACAAAATGAAACCGGAATTTGCATAAGAAATATTGGCAGTGCGATAGTGATCAATTCCTCCGACTACAGCCGGTATGCAAATAGTGCGCGAAACTTAGTCCAAAGACTGATGCAATTTCGTGTATTAATATACTAACACTTAGTATACATACACATGCATACACGGTAATTTCATTTCTAGACTGCTCCATTCTCCCAATCTCAACCTTTCAAATACATGAATTCGCGGATATGACATGACCTAAGTTAATAGAAATTCTAAATATAACAACCGGTATCGCCTCTTTTTCAATTTCGCTCTTGGTGTACTATTTCAAGTTATAAGTATCAACATCTACGAGACTAAACTAAACATTTATATAGAAATCGCGT